GTGTGTGTGTGTGTGTGTGTGTGTGTGTGTGTGTGTGTGTGTGTGTGACATTTTAATGAGAGTGCAGATTGTAAGGAAGAGTTGGTTCTTCATCAACCAAAGGGCTTACAGTTACAAAAAGGTGTGTGTGCGGAAACTCACTGGTTTATGAATTTGCTTTGTTAGAACAGTTTTCATTTGTATCCAATACTTTTAGCTAACACCTTTAACTTATGGTCCTTGCTAGTACTGAGTTGAAACCCTTTTGCTGCCCTAAATGTTTGTGACGTAGATTTACAAAGTGCCGGAAACAGTTTTTTCAGAGATTTTGCTCTATGCTGACATGATAGCATCACACAGTTGCTGCACATCCGTGGTCTGAATCGCCGCAATCGCAAAGCTGCTTTATTTGGTGGCTTGGAGACTATGGAGGCCATTTGAGTTGAGTGAACTCATGTCATGTTCAAGAAATCAGTTTGAGATCATTTAAGCTTTATTATCCTTCGTTATCCTGCTGGAAGCAGACTTCAAGAAAATGGGTACACTCAGGCCATAAAGGGATGGAGGTGGTCAGCACTAATACTTGAAATGATGCTCATTTGGTACTAAGGGATCCAAAGCATGCCAAGAATCACCCACACATTCAAGGAAGGATAGTCCATGCCAAATTCTTACCCTCAGAGCAGAAACTGAGACACATCAGTCCAGGCAACATTTTCTCAATCTTCCTAGCAGCTTCAAGCATTCTGGCCATTCTCTTCTGACCTCTGGCATCAACAAGGCGTTTTCCCCATCAGGACTGAGCTCACTGGGTATTTTCTCTTTTTTGGAACAGTCTCTGCAAACCCTGGAGATGGTTTTATGAGAAGATCCCAGTAGATCTACAGTTTCTGAAATACTCAGACCAGCTCGTCTGGCACCAACAACCATGCTACATTCACAGACAGTTAAATCACCTTGCTTCCCCATTTTGATACTTGGTAAAAAGACATTGTTTTGCACATTTTATCAGACAGAAGATAAATGTGGTGTATTAGGTGTTTCAAGCTTCACCATGTATTACCCAAAGATTTTCATAGTTTGTCAAAAGTTTCGTGAGTAAAATTCTTTCCCAGACTCTTTTCAGGCTAAACCCAGGAAGAGCTCATACATATTTAGTTGCCTCACGTCTTTGTCTTTCTTTGTTTGGTCTTCTTTTATCTTTTGTATATCTTTTTTATCACAATCCTTTGGAATTTCTTTGAATGTTACTATTCCCCTCACAGCTTGGCTTGAGTGCTGCGCCAATCTCAGAAACCAAAACTGTGAACCGCAGGAAGCTTTAATAGCAAGAATAGAAATTATCTCCTGTAAGTCGGCTAACTTTGCCTTGAAGATGATAAGGCGGCTAATAATAAGACTCTCGTGCCTGATCGTGCACGCTCTTGGCTGAGGGTAGTAATGAATGTCAAGCACTTTATCAGAGGCTAGCCGGAGATGTGCCATCTTTGTTTGATAAAGGAGAGATGTTGAGGTCTGCCCTTTCATTCAAGTGCCTACCCTATTTTTTTTTTTTTTTTTTTTTTTTTTTTTTTTTTTTGTCAGGTCGTCCCCTGCTGCGCTCTCCTTCTTCATCCACTTCTCAAAGGGAAAGCCCAAAGCAGATCGAGGCTGGGAGCCGTCATGTCACTCATCTCTCAGCCTGCCCTCTGCTTGCTCTCCTCAGATGTCCAATCAGCCTAATTTTAGCTTGTTTTAGATGGCCGTGTTAAATATGTCTCTGTGTCCCCAAGCGTGCCATGATGCAGATGATCTGTGTGCATGGAAAGCACACTCACGCTGTGTTTTCTTTTTTTTTTTAATGATGCTCCTGTGTGGTTTCTATTTAACAGTGAGTAGATTTAGCACAGGAAGGCCTATTTGTGAGGTGGGGTGGAGAGCATGGAGAGACATGTAATGCCGTTTTTAGGAGTCCCTTTACCTTTCAACGATTGGAAAAAAGCTGATTTTAGCATCCAGACACATAGCTGAAAATGTCACCAGTAGACAGAGGTATATTAAGTTGCTGGTGCTGAGGCAGTTTGTTTTGTAAACACTTGTGGTAGCTATTTGGATGTATACATATGGTTTTACTCTCTGACAAAGACTATATATAAACTGGCTTCAGTAAATCTTTGGAAATATAATCTTTGCATTTAAAGGCTCGGAGGACTGGAGCTGTGGTAAGTCTCACTTGCACACTTGGAGTTATGGTAGAAAAAAAAAATTAGTGCACCCTTTATCAGTTCTAAGCTTTAACATATCAGGACATAGTTTAAGAAAATCATCTTTCTTTAGCAGCTATTAAAATTATTTAAATCTAGCCTTAGGTGTAAAATGACACCCAGCAGTTTCCACTGTTCCATCATTTATTTAACAAAAACTAAACCCAAATGCAGAAGCAGAGTGTGAAATATTAAATACACCCCGTGATTCAGTAGCTTGTACAATTTTTAGCAGTAACAGCTTGAAGTAATTGTTTTCTGAATGACCTTATTAGTCTCTCACATCATTGCGGAGAAATTTTGGCCGGGTCTTCTTTACGTTGCTTCAGTTCATTGAGGTTTGCAGGTATTTGTTTTATGCGCAGTTCTCTTAAGGTCCACCTACAGTTTCATTCTGGTTGAATTCAAGACTTTGACTGGGAAATCGCTTTTCTTTTTCAACCATTCTGTTGCAGATTTGCTGCTGTCCTTGAGATCATTGTTCTGTTGCATGGCCTAATTTGACAAGCTTTAGCTGTTGGACAGGTCATGAACTTCAACATGTAACTTGCTAACTAAGGCCTTTAGGGTCTAAGACGTAGCTTTTAGGTTTGTTGCACTGTACAATCTGACCTTTAGCAGAATTAGCTGGGATGTCCTAGAACGATTGATGGGCAGCAGTAATTGACTTTCTAAGATAAGTTTTCATCCTTGGCATTGTGTTAACATATACCTGAATATACTAGAGCAGCCAACTGCTAAATCTTCTGCTTTTATAGAGGTGCTCACACTTGCTGATGATCAGTTAATCAAGTGCATTTAATGAGCAGCACCTGGCTCCTACTTACCCTCCTAATTCCTACTTGAAGCAGTAAAAATGTCCGTAGTTTTTCACACGCTGTGTCTGCATGTTGGCTCAGTGTCTGTTGAATAAGTAATGGCACAAATCTCATGTCATGTGGTTCAGCAGAGGTTGCATTTACTTAATTTTAAGACGTGCGAGAGACCAGTGTATTTTCATCATGTTGTGATACATAAAACCTCAGAACTGAAAGAGGGTGTACTTTCTTTTTACCATGACTGTAAGAAACAAGCAAAAGAAACCACAGGACCCTGAGCTAGAGACAGCGAGACAGGGCCTCAAACACAGGACCTCTTTTTCCTTCAGTGTTACATAAAGCTGTTATGTCCTACTGTGATGGAGCCACTGGGCCTGCAGCTATAGCTTTCCCCCACTTAAAGTGCTGATATGTTTCGGGAACATATAAACATTGAAAAATTTTGTTCATACTTTTGAAGCCTTAGTGCAGAGAGAGCTTTAGAATGAATATGTTATAAAACAGAGAAGCCGGAAGCCACCATTTGTTTAGAGTGGCAGGTGTGATGAATAAACAGTGTATAGACTGAGGATATAAAACAAAATAGTGTTATACAAGGAAATCTGCAGATTACTAAGTGGCTACATTAATTTCATTTAGTCCTCCTGACTCTGTTTTCTACTTGCAAAGACTGTAAATTGATTCATTTTTTGCAGCTGTAAAGCCAGAGTGCTAATAAAAATTATTAGAGAACAAATAAAGGCAGTGTGCATGAATTTAGATTTGAATGTGCTCTGTAAAAAAAAAAAAAAAACCCACCACAAACAAGTGATTACATAACATCGCTGTGTGTGTGTGTTCTTTTTTTCTTTTTCTTTTTTCCACAGACAGCGAGATGGTCCCACTGGATTGCCTGCGTCCTCGTTCTCTCGCTGCCGCCCACCAGACCGCCATTCAGCGAAGCAGTGGTGACCCTCGCCTCTCCGTCAGCCTGTGTGACCTGAGCCTGCAGCAGCAAGAGATGCATCTGGAGGAAGATGATGAGGATGAGGAGCAGCTACATCCCCTGAGCTCCTCCTCCTCCTGCCATGTGCCCCAAAACTCACAGAACTCACAGCAGTGCTCGCTTCTGCCCAGTCATTTGGACAATGATCTGCACTTTCACTCTGTGCACGGCATCCACGTAACCGTGCTGGATAAGCACACGGTGGCTCGGCTGGATCACCGCGGTGATGAAAGGACATTGGTGTTCACCAGCCGACCAATGCGCTGCTCAGAGACTGTATTTGTGAAGGTGAAAGCAGGTGTCTCGCGGCCCGGGTCGCTTTCTTATGGCGTGACATCCTGTGACCCCGCCACCCTGAGGCCCATTGATCTGCCGTCTAACCCAGAGTCCCTGGTTGACCGCAAGGAATTCTGGGCTGTGCGTCGCGTAGCGATGCCACTCCACAGCGGCGATATCTTGGGCTTTGTGGTGAACGCAGAGGGGGAGGTTATGATGAGCCATAATGGCGTCAGTGCAGGGATGCAGCTGTGCGTCGATAACTCCAGGCCTCTCTGGATGTTCTTCGGTCTGCACGGCACCATCACACAACTCAGGATTTTAGGTAGATTCAGTTGATCTTTTCATGTTTTTATCTTTTCATTGTGTTTGTGTGTGCGTGTGCGTGTGTGTGTGTGTGAGATACCTAAAAATCTATTTTTATGTTCTTAAATCAAATTTGGATTAGAACAAATTCAGGAAAAACCTAAGCTATCACAAGAATGGACTCCATCACTGTTATTACTCCCTCAGAAAACACTAAGATTTTTTTACCTAAGAGCTGCTTGCATTGGAGCCATGTTTAACTGTCGAGCCACAGCCCTTTTAGAAAATGAGTTTTTGGTAATTAGATTTCAGTCTTTTATTAGATTTCAGTTTTTCAAGATTTTTGTTCCTTTTTCCTCCTTCTGAATAATTAAATCTTCGTTCAAGGAAATCAGATGTGCTCACAGATCTTTGCAGGGTGTCAGTTGTAACTTTCCGTTCTTAACTGAGTGCGTGATCGTGGAATGACCTTTGGAAGCTGAATTCCCACTCAGTCAAGTCATGAAATAGTTTCTCCCTCCTCTGTTGTCTGGGGCTGCTCTCTGCCTTTTTATCAACTCATATATCGCTTTTGGAATTTACATCCAACCCCCACGATTTGCCCGTGAATGTTAACTTTGTACCGTCGGATGAACAGACCTCGTATCAGCTGGGTTTGATTCCAGCAGATTTCACACAGTGGTAACGTGACGTTACCTCAAGGTACTCTGAACTAAAAGTGTGGGTGTGCGTACACAGTTCAGGACTCAGAATGGAAAAAAAGTAGGAACACATAATTGCGCTCTCCAAAATAATTTCTTGGTTGGAAATGAAATGATATGGGTTATATGTAAATGCTGTAGTGATTTTGACTGAGTAAAAACAGATTTCTTTTCAGGGAGCTTTGAGGAAATTGATTTGCCTTCAGGCTCTGTCCAAGAGCTACAGATCACTTGATTGTTCAACTCTTCAGAACATGTAATCAGTCTACTCTGTACATATTTGAATCTCTTTGGGAGAGTTTCAAAACAGGGTTTACTGTAGGTGGAAAATTGAAGGCCCTCGTGTCAGTAAAAGGTTATTTTTCTAGGTCATTTGACATTCAGCATCTGCCCTCATTTTGTGCAGAACGAGGTTAAGATTGAAATATTTACTTTGATTTCCTCAGTGGTAAGTCTCCTGCACTTTAAGGATTTTTATAAGCTGGAGCTTGGACATAGTTTATTTGCCTGTATTGGTAAAATATCACAGCAGGCAGGAATCATAAGTGAGTGCTTGTGATCTGTTTATCTTCATCGCAGATTAAGTCTTGATAGAGAACAGTTTTCTTACAGCTCAGAATTACACGATAGACATCTTTTCATAGAAAATCTAACATTTGAGATGAAAAAGAGGGTCAAAATACTCAGGTTGGTTAGTTGTTTTTTTTCTATAATAATTCATCTGTGGATTCTCTGCTCTCTCTCCTTTCGTGTAGTCAGTCAGACCAGGAACTGAAGAGGTTATTTCTGTCTTGCGTGGGCTCCCAGCAGTCAGCATTATGTATCAGGAGGGTGCCTGTGATCGCTCCTCATGATGCCCTCCATATGCATTATTAAAATGTAATTGCATGGAGAATTGCAATGCTGGGTTTTCCACCCACAGCCAGTTCCTGTCACACTGGTCCTCGAGTCGTCTCTGTACTTCCTCTTTTCCTTCTGCCTTTTTCTTCCTCTTTCTCCCTCCCATCCTGATTCTTTGGGGGTATGAGCATTCTTCGAGTCATTACCCACTCCAGCTGTGGGGAGTGCATTTGTGACGTCTCTGCTCACCCACTCGCAGCATCCCGCACGCCATGAGTTGCCATGGAAACATCTAGCCAGTGAGGCAAGTGACAGTTTGTCGTGGCTGGGTGTTGTCAAGCCCGTGAAGCGGAACAGATGGGAGACTGTTGCTCTCACGTGGTCATTTTGTCCATGTTATCTCAGAAACAGTGATTTGATCTTTTCATGGGTCGGTCTAAGGGTCTACTCGTGTAATTACATGCTAATTTCAGTTGTAAATGTGATTAATACATATATGAGCTGTAATTTATTAATATTTTCAAGAAAGATTCGGCAGAGAATTATCACCTAACTCTGACCACAGAGCTTCCAGCTTCTTTCAGTTCATTTTTGTGGTTGTGCTCCCCACAGCAAGTAACCTCTTCTTAAATTAGGGTTTAAATGAACCATTTGTTATAAAGTTGTGATCTATAGTAATAGTATTAGTATTAAAAAATGTATTTTTTAATACATTTTTTTAATACAATCCCGTGAAACTTTATTTTTCTGCTGTATAGCATTAGTATTAAAAAATGCAATTTTTAATACTAATGCTACTTATTTTTTAGCACTCTGTTTTAGATGGCAGTTACTCAGAATTAGCTGCTGAACTGGCATCTTTTAAAATTTGTGCCTTACATATTTATGTTAATTTTGATCAATCAAAATATCAAAAAATGTAGTTGATGCAAGAAAACTCTGCAGGTATTCTTGCAGACAGCTCCAAAATCCTTCACCAGTAGGACAGGACAGCTTGTATCATGCCACTTGGTGTTGCTTGTGGAGCTTAATGCGTTGGCTATGAATAGACTGTACAGTCACCGGCCACTTTGTTAAGTACACCTGTTCAGCTGCTTGTGTATCAGCCAATCGCACATCAGCAACCAAAACACATTCAGACATATAGACATGGTCGAGATAACCTGCTGAAATTCAAACTGAGCATCAGAATTGAGAGAAAAGGTGATTTAAGTGACTTAATGTTATATAGATGTTTGCCCCAGATGGACTCTAGTGTTCACAAAAAAACTGTCCAGTCAGGAGCACTGTCTCTGGGCAAAACACACCAGAAGTTCACCAACACATTAACTCAGAGCTGCCACATAAGCGCTTAATGGAGTGCCGTTTAAATGCTACTGTATGCATACGTCCTCTCACTTTAAAATATATAACTTTATGAATAAATAAACAGATGACTCTGAGAAGAGTGTGTCTCAGCAAAGTGCTGCGATCATCAGTCCCAGCGCTGACCTTAAATGCAAGTAAATTAGGGAACGTTTAAGCACGCATAACCAGAAGCAGTGTGTTCATGCAGACTTTGCTCCATCTACTTTTTTTTTTCTTCTTTCTTTCACACAAACACACTGGTGGTTGCATGATTAAAAAGCTACTATGACTTGTTTACATAAGCTGAAACTCAACTGCAAGCGGTTCAAGTGGTCCAAGGAAAAGGCATCAGAGTTCAGTGCAGCAAATCGGGTCACGTAGCTACAGTTATGCAACAAACTGTATACATTTTACAAACCCTATTAACGTTTTCTTGGTTAGAAAAAAAAATCTCACAAAACACAGAGACGCTAACGTGATAGAACAGCTGCAGAAGTGAGAGAAACCAAAGCAAGTGAAGGACTGCATTGAGACACGCTTAAAGGAAGCAAACTGTTCATCAGTGTTATGATGGAGAAGTAGATGCAAGTGCATTATTCATATAATCCTGTAGATACATGTTGCTATTAGCTGTTTACTGCTAGTTCGTCACTTCTGCAGCTGTTGCTTCACGTTATTGTCGCCCCAAAAGAATTCCTATTTTGTTTTGTGAGTTATGTTCCACTTCTATTGTTTTGGGGGGGTTTTTTGTGTGTGCTTTTGCAGCATTTTTCTATTTGCTGTCAAAACAGAATATCAAAATCTAGCAATCTTTCAGATGGCCAGCAGAAGGTTGCTTCTTTGGTTCCCAAATGAAATCTGATAGTACGAGAAAATGACCCTACTACTAATTTCATGATCTCATCAAATACTTTTCCAGTGAGTCTGTGGTCTCAATCACTAGATTCAGGTCTTCTTTAATACTACATGATGTTCATTTTCTAAATTATGGTCCCATTTAGAGTAAAATAGAAGACAAAGCAGGGTATATTTTATGATTTGGCTGCCTTTCCTCCTCCACCTCCTTATGTCTTGCTTTGTTTGTTTTCTTTTAAATGCTGGTATGACATTCATCATTAATATAAAACCCATGGCTGCATTGCAGTAACTAGAGCTGACTCATAATTGTTTGGATTTTGGGGTATGGTGGTAAAAAAGAATAATATTTAGTCAACCTTTAGCAAAATTTATGAGGACATAAACACAGTTTAAAAAAAGGAGTTTCCCTCACACCTGACACCAGGAAAACACGTTTAGCATGGCAGTGAGTTCACTGTACTAGCACATTAGCTAGTTGCTAAAAGAAAATATGCAGTACTGGATGAATGGAGGAGTTAAGTGGGGGGTAAAACAGGGCTAAAAGGAGAGCGAATATCAAACTTGGGTTTGGTGGAGGAATGCTAATGTTCATCCATAATTGCTTGATGTGTAAATAAACAAGTGTTGAAAGCCACTATACACATGCTCAACCACAAATAAGTCTCCTGCACTGCCAGCACAACCAAAGACACACATACTCACGATCTCACAGCCAGCCATGAATGCATAATACAAGAGAAGACAGAAGGGTACATGAATAGACAAGAAGGTTATCCATTTGGCCTTATTGGAGTTCACCAACACATTAACTCAGAGCTGCCACATAAGCGCTTAATGGAGTGCCGTTTAAATGCTACTGTATGCATACGTCCTCTCACTTTAAAATATATAATAACTTTAGGAATAAATAAACAGATGACTCTGAGAAGAGTGTGTCTCAGCAAAGTGCTGCGATCATCAGTCCCAGCGCTGACCTTAAATGCAAGCAAATTAGGGAACGTTTAAGCACGCATAACCAGAAGCAGTGTGTTCATGCAGACTTTGCTCCATCTACTGATTTTTTTTTTCTTCTTTCTTTCACACAAACACACTGGTGGTTGCATGATTAAAAAGCTACTATGACTTGTTTACATAGGCTGAAACTGAATTGCAAGCGGTTCAAGTGGTCCAAGGAAAAGGCATCAGAGTTCAGGGCAGCGAATAGGGGCACGTAGCTACAGTTACGCAACAAACTGTATACATTTTACAAACCCTATTAACGTTTTCCCTTCCTTTTTTTGTGAATTTACAGCGTTTTGCTTTTTTCCTGCATTTTCCCACCATCTGTGGTTCTTCGTTTTTTTTCTTGTTCTCCACTCCACATTGTATTGTAAGAAAATTTGGATAAGCAAATAGTGGAATTGAATGAAAACCACTGACATTAGATAATTTGACACATGGAAGCATGGTGGCGCCAAGTAAGTGACCAAACCAACTGTGTAGCAGTATTTCAATGTAAAACAACAATGCTACATGACTGCCAGGCAGACTTGATCAGATTTTGTCTTTCTATGAAATCGGGGTTGGTACGCTCTTCTGTGAGGAGAGATGAAGTGCCAGTATGACGCCAGAGCCTGTAGTTATCGGGTGCGGATGGGGGACACATCACATGGGACGCACAAGAGAGCGTCTGTAGAGAGGGGTTTTTTTTGTACCCTACCCGGAGGTATTGTGGGCTCATGAAGGAAGAAGGAAAAGTAGGGTGAGGGGAGATTACATCAATTCATAGGCTCCTGACTCACTCACACGCCCACACACACACTGTAGACTCATAAGTCATCTGCTTGGTGATAGAGAATATTTGACGTACGTGTAAGGGAGAGAATGACAGGCTGAGATAGCGACAGAGATGTAACAAGACATCAAACCTCCTACATTAGCTAATTATCAGCCCTGAGTCTCAAAGATGCGGACGATTGAAAAGTGAAATGTTTAATCTTTGCATGTGAAACTTTGGCACTTTTGAATACTTCTATAAAGGTATCGTTTCCTCTCTATCTCCAGGCTCATCTCAGCACCCAGACCTGCGAGGCCCATCGGTGCCCAGCTCTCCATCATTTACACCAAACACACCCACAATGCTTTGCAGTGGCAACTCTGAGTCCAACCTCAACACTCCTTTGAATATCAACCTCAATTCAAGTCTCAACTCCAACTACCACACGCTTTTTTCCTCCTCAACAGGTTTGTCCAAGCGTTTTGGGGTTTTTTTTTTTCTTTCCTTTCTTTGCGTATCTTTTCGGAGAAGTTTGCTTTTCTCGTGACATCTTTACAAGCCAGGTCATGGTCTCCGATTCAAGTATTTCCATATGCCTTGTTTTTTCCAGATTTTCCATTGTGTTTATAAAAAGAAAATGTTTATGAAATTTACATTTATTAAAATGCAGAGGTGCAACAGAGCAGTGAAACAGCCAGCAGCACGCAAACGCTGACTGAACCGCACCAAGACGTCAAGTCACGATGAGCACGTCAGTGCATGAAGCAAATATTTACCTTGGTGATGTGAAGCAGCGATCCTTGACATCACTACCGTCCCAAGCTGCCGGCAGTATGACAGCAAAACAGGAGTGATGATTGGAGTGCTCACTCAGTTATTCTTGCACAAAGTTGTCCTGAAGCTTCATTAGCAGGAAAAATAGGGGAATGGTGCTGACAGGTAAAATAAAAGATGCGTTAGATGTAGGGTACGTCGGATTGAGCAGAGCTGAATCTGTCTGGGTGAACTACCTGGAAGGTTTCTTCCGTTTTTCTGCCTCACCTTCAGACTCGCATATCTCTAATGGCTTTCTTTTGTCACCCCAGGTACAACCCCAAGCTCTCCATTCTCTAACCATCCAGAGTCCCCCACCTTCCCATCCTGTTCCAGCTCATGGAGTGATGAATGCACCATCTGCTATGAGAATGCAGTGGACACGGTCCTCTACGCCTGTGGGCACATGTGTCTCTGCTACGCCTGCGGTCTCAAACTCAAGAAGATGGCCAACGCGTGCTGCCCCATTTGCAGGAGGACAATCAAAGATATCATCAAGACCTACCGGAGCACGTAGGCTCGATAGGCGATGTCAGGTTCAGCTCGGCACATTGTCAAAGCCATGTGAGACTTTGTAAAGACACAGCACAAGCCTTGATCGTTTGCGTGTGCAGTCTGGCTCAGGTACTTTAAACTCCACCATTAAAGCGTTTTAATTATATCATGTCTAATGCACATCCTTAGCAAGCTAACAGTTGGTCCACTGAGATTCATCAGAGATCAATCCAAACGTACAGTGTGATCAACGGAGACACATTTTTGTGTAGTAACAGCACAACAACAACACACCTTGACCTACTTCCACTGAAGAGAAGAAGTAATCTGAAGAGGCATCTGTCCTACTTTGCCACAGTAGCTCATCAGTCTGCTGGTGATAGCATCACTGCTGGCTAGTTTTATGAGAATTAAAATTGTCCAGAGGAGTGGAGAAATAAATCGGTGGTTTCACCAGCTGCTCCATTGCAGTTTTTCAGGCCGCCTTGGTTAAAGTGTTTTTTTGGGGGGTTTTTAAGTAGAAGCTCATGGCAAGATCAGATCGCGGTGAGGAATGAGTAGAAAGACAGAGAAAGAATGTGGCGAGTGTGGTGTGTTTGTGGTGAAAGTGCTTCTCTAGCAATAAAACACAAAGAAATGTCTGACCCTACAGGCTGAAGAAAAGCCGGAAAGGGAGCTCTGTTGGGTTATAAATGAAGTGTTCTGCTGAATATCTCAGCACCTGCTGTGCTTCTGTGAATGTCAGCCAAAGCAAGATTGCGCAAAGGGTAAAAAAGTGTGAATGTTGTCACCGCAGAAGGTCACGCTGGCGGTGAATGAGCATGTAAATCAGTGAGGAGGAGGAGGAAGGAGGCGAGAGGATGTTGTACGTTTGGGATGGAGACAGGGAAGAAAGAAGCGTCTTTGCTGCATGTCAGGGTAAAGAAAATGTTCACGCAGACGTACCAGATACAACTTTAGAAAGCCTGTAAAATGAGGGACTTGCGTGGATTGCATGTCCTGCTTCTTGGCAGCCGTTCACACCATCTCTGGCTGGTTGCTAAAGCCTGCTGGATGCTATAATTGCACAAACGTCATCCAAATAAACAGTGGTGGGCAGGGAAGCATTTTAAAATGCTGAAAGAGCACATGAAGATGATGAATCAACCTCTTCATCCCTGAAAGAATCAGGGAATACGAAATCCCACATAAGTTACAGATGGCTCCTCTTACTTCAGGTTACGCCCCTCTCTTTCATGCATCGAATCTCAACGTGAATAATTGCTTTCAGTTATGACATATTTATGTGTCCTTGAGCGGATTGGAAATTTAAAACAAATCGCAAGTTTGTCATCAGCGGCAAGGATGTAGCTTGTTATTGTGGGACATTTGTGTAAAAAATGTCATTTGCATATCAGTTTCTGAGTGCTGCTCCTCCATCGATAAAAGCAAACTCCAAGGACACTTTCACTTGACTAATCTCTTGCATTATGTACTGCTTTGAAATGTTAAGAAACACAAGATATGTTCAGGTGTTACTCTGGCCTCGCTGAAACATTGCTCATCTTTAAAGTAGTAAGTGCTGATTTCTTTTCGAGCTTGTCGTCTTGTGGGGGAAAATTGGCAGTTACTGTGTGGATCATTTGAAGGACAGCTAAGTTTTCTAGTGTGCCTTTTAATAAAGAGAAGCTTGGACAAAGTTAGGCTCCTCACTGTGAAAACCTAGAGGGATGCCAAGGTCCTTTTTTATCTTGGAGCCACAGGTGGAAGCACGAAAAGATTGGAAGCAAACGCATCAATGTGCTTAATATCAGCGTGTGCTTTTTATTCACTGCTACTAATGAAATGTTTGTGTCACTACAGTGTACAATACTGGAAATTAGTTGTGAGCGTTGAGAGATGCTCACCGTGTACATTTCTACCTGGGTTCGTTTTCCTTCCTGACCAAATATTACCTAGCAGAAATCCAGCATTGCTGAACATTTGAAATGGATGAAACGGTATTGATGAGTGTAATATTAACTGTACATTATGAGGTTTATTTATTTTTCAGTGCTACAATAAGAAATTATCACTGTTTCTTTCGTATGTGTGGGTGTAGTGTCCAAAAAGTAAGAACATTGTTTATTTTATGGTTAGCAGACAAAGACAAAAGGAAACTTTTATTTCCCTGAAAGGCCCCTGCGGATGTGTCAGCTGATTTTCACTGAAAGAAATAGTTTGACATTTTGGGAAATGCTTATTCATTTTGCGGTGAAGATTCAGATGAGATGATCCGTTCCGCTCTCCAGTGGTTGCATGGTACGTACATTAAGTCAAGCACTCTATTTAACTACATTTTTGTATTTCGCTTGAGCATTTCCAGGATTTCAGAGAGAAACTTTCGACTTTTGGGAATGTCATCTCAGTCTGTTGCTCTTCATGGAGCTAGAAAATCAAATATTACTTTCTCTAAAAGTTAGAGAAACTGAGAACCAGATGATAATGCTACTTCACGACTGATGGATATTTAAAAAAGCAACTGTTTGCTTACAAGTTTGCCACACCACGTCAAACCGTGGCCTACCTGAACAAACACCCCGAAGGGTTCGCTGTTTGCCTGCCAACTCGTCCCTGCCAAATAATAGTGCAGCCAAATCTGTCACACATCCTCTGGAAAAGTGGTGAATGGTGTAATTTGTACACTTTGATTGCAGCCGTGTGATATTTTTGGAGGTACTTGTTGCAGCTCACCCGACTCTGTAGAAAGGCATCTCCAGACAGATAAGAGAGTGGTATCACTCTATTCATCAGTTTCCCAAAAGGCCAAATAAGAGAAAATCAAATGTAAAGTTGGAATTGTTTAGCTTTACCTTTTGGTAATTTATATTTCTCCTAATTGAGCGTATTTAAACCGTGTTGTGGCCTGTGAGTAGTTCTGTTGATTCCGAGAGCTTCTTTTTTCCCCCCCAAACGTGACCAAACTAATCCGAATGAGGCAGTACGTGAAGATGGGCATTGTGTATTTTTGGACAAGAAAATTGTCTCTTTATTTTGGTTTTCTGGGCTACTTTGTGGTTTCTGAATTCGCTAATTATGTTCTGTTTGTTAAATAAAATTTAAATCACTGGCTTTCCTCTTTGTCTGTTATTTCCGATGACTGTATAACATGACCAAAAAAAAAGAAGAAAAGAGCACACAGAGCAATTCTTTTGATACAATAAAGAGTGAAAACTGACCATTTCCATTTAACTGCCGGGGTGCTTTCTCTGTTTTATGCACAGCAGGAAAAAAGAAGTCAATCTTGCACAGACGGGGAATGAAAGTGCATTAGCGCCATTACCTTTTCCCAAAATATACATTATACAAATGTTTCATTTGTGGGAGATTTACCTCTTGTACATGAAAATTCAAATTAGGCAATAGCTCGAGAACTAAAAAGGTGCCCAACACAAACATTCTCTGCAGTAGTATACTTGACTAACATCCCACCATATACTATATGAATAACAAAGGCAATGGCTTTTAGTAAACGGCTATAACTCACAGGGAAACTGTTTAGAGTTGTGGTATGTAGACCTGGACAGAGTGAACATCATCTGTTATTTACTACCCTGCAGGCCTGGCTCTAATGCAGCAAGGTTTTAAGCTGCACTCCAATAGGTACAAATACAGCCTGCGACGTTCGGACATGAAACAGGCAGCAGTGTGTTCAGAGGTGAGAGGGAAATACACAACCAGGGACTGTGAAAGTGACATGAATACAGTACATCTCGCTGGTGTCTGTGTACACACAGACTTTCCACTCAGACCTCTCAGTGAACCTGGCTGTGGGCCTTGTGAAGGCTTAAGGGCTTGCCAGACGTGTTTGAGCTGTGTTATGGTATCTCTTCTAGACAGCTGTTTGGTCAAACGCGCAAACTATCAACTTGTATTAATGTATTAAATTTGTATTCCAAGAAGGCAAGGCACTATCGATTTTGAATTTTAACTACACATCAGACAGTCTGAGTTTGTGTTTGTTCCTCTGCTGTAGCCGAGGCACTAAGCAGCTTTTGGTATTCAGTGTGATGTAAAAGTCTTTTCCTCAGTCAGATTGGTGGCATTGAGGGACAGACTCTAAAAAGTGTTATTTAAAAACTGCAATTTTTTTGTTTTAAAGTCCCTGATATCAAATGAGTCCTTTCAGCCTTACAGTAATTATTGAGCTGATGAAGGCACAGGTGAAGGTCACAGTGATGCAGTGCTTTGTCTGCACCAAGATGCTGAGTACTGCTGCCATCCAGTGGCCAGAAACATGTCCAGCATCTTATGCACCGGGCAGAAAACACACAGTATGATTTAAAAAGCTTTCAGTGCATTTTGAAAAAAACAAATATTTCATTCAAAAACTCAGTCAATACATGGCAAGTCCATTTTTTATAAATAGTAATGGCAGTAGGTTGACAAGAATCTCATTTTATAGAATCAATTTTGACCATTGGCCATAAATATAGATTCTAGTACCATTCTTTAATCATTACATATATATAGTTAATCAAATATTTTCTTTCCAGGTGCTATAAATCACATTTTCCATATTTCATCATCATAAACTATCAGCTAGTTTTCAGATACTTGTGGTGACACAATGAGGGACACATCGCTTTTAAATTTGAAGTCCCCGATGGTGTAATGCATTCCCTTCTTCTCCCTGTCTTACCCATGTGATTCATCATTTGCATTCACAAGTAAATGGCCTGTGTTTGTATATTTACTAGTCCCTAAGGACCCCAAAGCGCTTTACACATCCAGTCATCCACCCACACAGTCACACACTGGTGATGGCAAGCTACAGTGTAGCCACAGACACCCTGGGGCGCACTGACAGAGGCGAGGTTGCCGGACACTGGCGCCACCGGGCCCTCTGACCACCACCAGTAGGCAACAGTGAAGTGTCTTGCCCAAGGACACAACGATCAAGACTGTCCAAGCCGGGGCTCGAACCGGCAACCTTCCGATTACAAGGCGACCTCCCAACTCTTGAGCCACGATTGCATGCATGTAAATAAACATACATGCAATTGTGCACATTTAACTTGTTATAAAGATGATGAATGGACATCCACAATTAGTTCCAAGCCAATGACTGCACGAGTCTCAACAGTGGGATGGACATATTCCACATTAAATTCCTGTGGGCGGTAAATCTTATTACAATTCCGGAATCAAATCCGATATATATGAAATATGCAGAGTCTGACACTGGAAAACCACTCCAGTGTTTTGATTTGGTGTTTCTCTGATTGCGGCTGAAGGCGATCATATTATACGTCTCCAGACTGGTAACTTAAACTTTTGCTTTGCGAGTTGATGCTAAATTAAGTCGCTCAGCAACCGCAGAATGAAAGCCAATGTCAAACGTGCAGGTTCTCCTAAAGCAGTGCTGCTGTCAATTAGAAATGAATGGAATCCTAAGCAGCCCAGGATGATCTAATTTATTTGAATGAAATCATCTGGCTGGTAAAACACTTGAGCTGTATTAGAGCTATAGATATATGCAGATGTGGAATGAAACTAGATATAAACACATCCAATACTGAGATCTTTTACAAAGTTAAAGGTGGAAAGAGAACTGAGGGGTATCCTATTGCCAGTGATTATGGCTGGTAATGGATTTCATCATACTTTCTGTCAACTGTTAACAGGATTATACAAAAAAAACTACCCACCAGAATTTCATGAAACTTGGTGGAGAGCTGTATTAAGAGAAAAAAACTTTTGTGGGTGGGTGCCGAATCAAAATGCTTTTGTGAAACAAGGTATTGGCCTTGGGAGAGGATGTCCTCTTAGTGTGCCCTTCTAGCTCTCAATCTGCTCAGATGATAATGATCACATTCACTCACAATAAAGAAGTGCCCCTAAACACACCTGCAACGCAGACAGGAATAATCTCATTTTGGTTTATCACTTTTACAACAATATCAGTTTTTTAAATGTGTGAAAGATGACTCGTTATTTTTTCTTCCTTGATAGGTCCTAAAAAAATGAGACAGAAAATATTAAAAATGAAGCATTTTAGCAGCATTTAAGGAGTATCAGAATTCTATATGTACATCCCATTTTACATAATTAATGCTGTTCAATAATGCAGTTTTGTGAAAAAGACCGTTTTCAAAGAACTTTAGAACAGTTTTTAGCAGCAATAACTTGAAAGGATCCTTTTTATGTATGAGTTTAGCAATCTTTCAAAGTGCTGATGAACAAATTTGGCCCACCCTTCTTTAGTTCTTTGAAACATTTATATATGTCCCAGCATATAATTTTATTTAAATTCTGGTCTGGACTTTGAAAGGTCCACTGCAACATCTTGATTCTTTTCTTTTCTTTCCATTCTACAACAGAATGGCTGAAAAAAGTAAACTGTCCTGTTTATGACTCAATTTTGGCCAAGCTTGGCATCACATTTGACTCTAGAATACTTTGGTATTCAGAGGAGTTCTCAATAGACTCAGGGATCAGGTGCCTGGGTCCTATGGCAGCAAAATAAACCAACTCATTTCCCCTCCACCACCATAATTGGCAATTGGTATGAGGTGTTTGTGTTGATATGTTTAGTTTCATCCGTCCAAAGAAAATAGTTCCATGCTGCCATGTTCTTTTTATATGTATGTTGGGAACCATGGAAGTAGGAAAACAGCAAGTACAGGTAAAATTTTAAAATTAAATTAAATTTAAAAAAACAGATGAAAGAACAAATGAATGTTCAAAAGTGCATTTATTAAAGTAATTCTTTTGGCACTTTAGTTATCATCACTGATCAAACAGTTAACATCAAACAAAAGTGAGAAGGTGAGCGTCCCCCCAAAAAAAGGAATACTGTCAAATTTACTGCCCAGCAGAAATTCAAAATGTTATTATAATTAATAGAGCAGTTCATTTTAGAAAGGTTTAAATGACTTTTGCCTTTGTAATAATAAAACATGTATTAACATAATTATTAAGTAATGAATTTACAACATTTTCACTGAGCTTTTGCCTCTGAAATTAAAAAAAAAAAGTTAAGGGAGCTCTGCTGTAACTGTTTTGAACTTTAAGGGAGAGAAAATGCTTGAAAATTATTTCATGAGGACAAAATTACATAATTAAATGGATAAAATATTTCACATGAAGGTGACATACAGTATAAAGAGATATAAAAAAAACATGCAGCACCAAAATTTTACTAACACAAAGCAGCTTTGGCAACAACAGAGATTTTCTTTAGGAAATACTGTAAAAAATAACAATTAAAAAAAGGTTTAATTTCAACAGCTCAAGGCATCGTCAGTATAATGAATCATTTCAAACATGCAGTAAGCTTTAAGTTCTTAAAATGTGTTTAATAAAATTATGTTAAAAACTAACAGAAAGGGGTTCGAGGAGCAGACACAAAATGACGTCTTATTTCAAGTTAAAGGTAACCACTGGAGAATATCGTTAACTCACTCTTCCACTCTCTGGTGTTGTCTTTGGTTGTAGTTAAGTCCCGATATATTGTTCCTGATGCAAAGTCTTAGGCACTCTATCATGTAGATTCATATTACCAGATGCATTGTTTCATTACAAAGTTAAAATTTGATGGGGGTGCTCGCTTTGGCAAAGGTACCGGAATTCAATCCGGATTTAATGTCCGGGAGTTAGCTTTTTTTTTTTTTTTTTTTTAAATGACATCAGAAACAGCAGTATGCGACATTACGTGATGGCAGAGCTTCAGTTCATCCTTTGTCACTTTTTTTTTTTTTTTTTTTTTACAAAATAAGTCTGTTAGAGTAGTCTTTACACGCATGTCCAGAGTTCTGCCAGCTCCATACACGAGTGCTAGTGCTTTTTCTCGAGGTAATTTGAGGGCACCCATCCTTTCCTTGGTCTGCCATTGTCCAGAACTTTGCAGTACCACCACCCATTGGGGTTTTTTTCAAGAACCTCCAGACTTGTCCCCTCAGGAAATCCCATCGTCTCCTCATCACCAGGGTAGTCTGCTATGGAGATGTAAACCTCTCTGAGGTTGTTATGGATGATGTGGGGCTTGGGTTTCACTGTAGATACAGGAAGGGCATTCTTCTGAGAGCTGACACCAAGGGATTCAGAGCTGCCAGTACCAGATCTGTTCC